GATTCTTGACGTAATGAGACAAAACAATTGATGACACTCTACACAAAGTCTTTGGATTCCTGATGCTCTGGGACAAAGACAATGGGACTCTACATAAAGCATTTGATTCCTGATGCAATGAGACAAACTAATTCATTACAATAATATTAATTATCTCAAATTTTTTGCACTATATATAAACTACATACGTTCTAACCCTAAACACACAACAAAAGATCAATTCTCTTCAGCTATTGCATTCTTCAATTTCGTTGCTATTGTTCTTCAAGAATGTCTTCTTCATCTTCAACTATGTTGTGGAAAAACACCTCCATAGGTCAAATGAAACTCATCTTATGATAAGTTAATATATGTTGCATAATGTTTACAATTAATATTATTCATTATTAACATTTCAATCCTACCATATTTCACTAGTACAAAAATCACTTTTAAAATCGGGGTTTTAAAATCGGTTAAAAAGTAACTGATTTTAAAAGTGATGCGGTGGCAATTTTGTAAATAATGACACTAATTTTTAAATCGGCTAACTTTTAACCGATTTTAAAAGGTCTCTACGCTATTTTTAAAATCGGTCATTTAAGAACCGATTTTGTATGTTAAATAGCCAATTTTAAAAATTGCTACTTTTAAAATTGACTATTTAAGAACCGATTTTGTATCCTACATACAAAATTGGTTCTTAAATAACTGATTTTAAAAATGTCAACGAGAATATATTAGTCTTTCTCGCTTCATTCCTTCCCTCCATTTTAAAAATCATTTTTGTATACTTTCCCTCCATTCCTTTCTTTAGTCTCTCTCGCGCTCTGATAAGAGTTGTATCTATGTTATTGTGTTGTTAAGTTATGATTGTGTTGTACGTTGATCCTGTTGAGGATGATGATAGTGTTGTTATGTTGTAAATTGCTTGATTAGCAACTTGTGTTGTAAATATTTTATTATCCTATTTTAGTATATATATTCCAGTAGTATGTAGTGTTGTTTCGTAATGTGACGGCCATGGCGGGTCGTTACACGCTTCATCTAAAGTCTTCAGCTTCTCATTTTCTTTGCAAGACTATCAAGGTAACATTCTCATTCTCTTCTCATCTCTCTAGTTTTGTTGTTGCTTTATTCTAGGTAAATTTCGAATCTGGAACGGCCCGTACTGCAAGTAGAACATCCCTTGCTAGTTGTAGAACGGGTCATTCTGCTTGCAATACGGGTCGTTCTGCTTGCAGATGTGCGGCTACAGATCCCTCTACCCTCCATCTTATTCTTCCTCTCATTCAAATCAGTCCCATCTTCTTGGTCAACACCCTTTGCTATTAGCCAACGTCCTTTTCTTCTTCAATGTGAATTTTCTCTTCTGCCTCCTTGGCCTAATCCAATCTAGTCACTAGGTACACTACTTTCCTCTTCCCTTTCCTTCACTTCACTCATATATATATTGACATGTAGCTTTTGGTGTTGGTGCAGATGATTGACCCATATTGGACAGTGATACTGGTGATGCTTGTTCATTACTATGCAAGTCACCCTTTGGGTGAGTATAACTGGTTGAGGTCTAGGGTGATGATATTGCTGACTTGGGTGTGGAGCATTAGGCTAATCCACAACTGCTTTAGGCGAGAAAAGAGGATTGGCTTTTCACTGATTTGAGTCAACAGTATGGAAGGCATTGGTGGTGGGCTTCCTTTTTCGCCATCTACATCCCTCACCAGGTTACTTAATTAGTTACCATTTCTTGCTTTTTACATGCACGCATGAGGCATGAATAATTTGTAAGTTACTTAACTTATTATGTACACATTTATGCATTACATGTATTTTAAAAACATTTTGATTACATATATGGTTGACATTTACCAACTCTTGTCATTTGTATGTAATTTGATCCATTGAAAACATATGAATTGTCTGGTATTTTATTAATTTGCAGGTTTTATTCAGAGATCCTCCTAAAACAAGTTAATTATTTTAAAAAAATTAACAACTTTTAACATCGGTCAACGACCGATGTTAAAAGTCCAACTTTTTAAAATCACATCTTTTAAAATCGGTCAGATAACCGATTTTAAAAGTAAAAAATGACCGATTTTAAAAGTGTTTTTTCCACTAGTGTTTGCAGACAACAAGTGGTGAAGTAATTCAATCTTACTATCATTCCATGCCTATACCTAACCCAAGAATTGAACATTTGTTGGAGGTTGCTGGCTTTGGCGAGGTTGCCAAAATTAGACATTTTAAAATCGATGATAGTCTAATACCATCTTTGGTGGAGAGGTAGAGACTTGAGACACATACTTTTCATCTCCCAATTGGTAAGTGGACGGTCACTTTGGAAGATGTGGCACTACAACTGGGTTTGATGATCGATGGCAAAGCAGTCACAGGACCAACTTTCTTTGACTCGGATGAATTGTTTTATGAGTTGTTAGGCTTCGTACCTCCGAAAGGGGAAGCTCTAGTTGGCTCAATCATAAAACTAAAATGGTTAAGAGACCATACAATTGCACTACCAGATGAACCCGCTGAACAACAATTGCACTAATATTGTAAGGCATATATCTTATGGTTGATTGGTGGTGCCATTATGTCAGACAAGTACGGTAACAGACTTCACTTAATGTATTTACCACTGTTGGTTGACTTGGAATGTGCAGGACGATATAGTTGGGTTCTGCTTGTTTGGCACATTTGTACAGAGAAATGTGTAGGGCGATTTATCCATCGTCAAAGAAAATGGGTGGATGTTCTATACTTTTGCAGTCTTGGACTTGGTATTATATGCCCTTCATCCAACCAAGAGTTCAACGAAATATTACATTTCCGTTAGCATTGAGGTATGAATTAATTTATATACCATTTTAATACATCGGACAACTACATTCCACCTAAAATTTTATCAATGTACAAATTTTTTAGATGGTTTGGAAGAGGGCTAAGATTTATAAGCACGCCCTATAGAGACTTATTTGGCTATAAATTAAGATATGACAACATGAATCATAACGAGATAATATGATGTCAAATTCTCTCACAGATACTCTCTTTTATTCAATTAATTTATACCCTAAACCTTTTTCTTTTTCAGTTTCTGTGGATGCCATATAGGGAATTTTAGTCCTCACTGCCAACACATGCTTATAAGGATTCTAGAATATGGACTTCTTGTACTACTTTAACTTCATTTGTAGTTCTAGTCTGGCATCAAAGTGACAGAGTCTGCAATTTGGCTTGTGGCAACCAATCCCCAATGAAGCCCATAATCTTGATAAAATGCACGAAATAGACATGAGAGGACATAGTGACACCAACTAGGCTGAACAACATAAAGACTGGATTTCTATTTGGAAAGACAAACGCAAACATGTTATTTTTGGGGAACCGCTTCAAGGGTCTCTCCAACACACTCTTGAGTATTTGCAATGGTTTCGTGCTAATTCAAAATTATTTCTTTTTAGCCAATATTCTTTATCTCGTGCATCCACTTCTAGTGCGCAACTCCCAACAACTATAGGATTTCAACAACTTTTCCAACACCATCACAAACCCCAGTGGCTGGAGATAACCACCCACCTTACAGTGTGGAACAACATCCCTAGTCTCTTTCAATGAATCCACCATTTCATGCGCACCATAAATAATTCATGTACACCCTACCATCAACAACAACTCCAACAAGGGACTTTATGAGCAATCTTTTTGGCATCAACGTACACACGCCACAAAGTGCATATGATTACATGCAAAGCATGAATTTTCCTTCATTTTCTTCTTATCACTCTGAGGTCAGTGGAAGTGTTTCGCCGAATCCGGCCAAGGATACTATTCATATAAAATACAATGAGGAGCAAGTTGAACCACAACAACCACGCATTGGTCGTCGAAACCCAACAAGGAACCGACAACCTCCAAGGTGTGAAACTGGTGGGCATAAACATCATTAAACTACCTTGTTGTTATGTAATTTGGTGAATTGTAATTGTGTTTTGTTCTTATTTATTTGATTTCCTATTTTGTTGTTATTTTGTTCTTATTTAAAGTTGTTCATCTTAATTAAAGTATTATTTCATTTCCTATGTCTCAAATTAAAGGAAAATAAAAAATAAATTAAATTTTACATATTTATAATTTTAAAAAATGATTTACTAAATTATAATATTAAATTTATATATTTTAAAAATATAATTTCATTATTAAAATTATATTATTCTTTATATTTTATTTGTAAATTTTTAGTTAAATTATCTCTATTATTTTTAAATAAATTTCTTTTTTAATAAAAGTAAATAAGTTTTAACATTATCTTTATTTTTAACATAAATTTAAAATATTATACATAAATTTTAAAATTAAAATTAATTATAATTTTTTTAAAAAAAATAAAAAATAAAAAAATGCTCAGGTGAGAAATTAGTTACTAGGTAATCAATTTCTCAATAGAATTTAAATTTTTTTAAGAAATTTCATTAAAAAATCGGTTACCTAGTAACTAATTTCTCACCTAAACCTAAAAACAGATTATTTAGGTAAATAAAAATTAGTTCAGGTTATTAAAATAAATAAAAATTAAAAAAATATATTTAAAATAAAGTCGATTACAGGAGTTACATTCTAAAATTATTATGTGTTTGTATAAATGTGAAAGATAATTTTACAATAATATCAAAACTCTTATTTCATAATGTTGTTATAAAATAAAATATTATAATAGAAGATTAATCTTCGAATCTTTGTTTATCTTTTTTTAAAAAGTGAAATAGAATGATGTTGTAGCTTTACATTGAATGCATAATTCTCTTTAGATTTGGATAGTCATTCATCGTTCAAGTGAAAGTAGAAGCAAATTCAAAAGACAATAAAAATATAAAATAAATAAATAAATAAATTCATGAGGGTGTGAATAGCAATAACAATATTGCCTCTATGGCTTCATTTGCAAAAGCACATTTATAGAGGGACTCAGTTGCAATTTCAGAGAACTTGTCTGCTCTAGCATTCACAACTCACACATTAAGTACGATTTGTTGCGTTGAAAAATACTCGACACAATTCGTAGTTCATACGCTCCCAATTTTCTCTCTCTGGCAACAGAAATTAACATGCCAACCCTCACCAATTTCTACGCCATTGAAGAGTTATCTCAGCACAACACCAAAGACGATTGCTGGATCCTCGTTGATGGAAAGGTACCGCCTTTTCCTCCATCTTTGCTTTCATGTAAAAGCTTTCTCTTTCTGCTTTTTCTATCACTCGTCGTTTGTGATTGTTTGAAGCTGTTGTTGTGGGTGTCTTCTCTTCCTTTCCCTTTTCCATGGCATGTGATTGAAGATGTTATTTTTGCTTTCAACATTGGGGAAAGTAACATTAGGGCTTCATGAAATTTTTTTGCCTAACTTGTTTGAAAATGTTCACTATTGTTTTGGATTTAGACGAGTGTATTGGTTATTGTTGTTGAAATATTACTACTTTTTCTGATTTACCTAGCCTTTCTCTCTTCTGTGTGGATTTTCGTCATCTTCCATTTTTCCAGTAACAAGCAACTAGCGAGTTTCGGCGCTTTGTCCATGTTTTAAAATTTAAATTTAAATAAGAAAAATATCAAAGGAAATATTAAATATATATTTTTATTATTAACTAGTAGTCTAGTTTCTATCAAAAATAAAACTAGTAGTTTAGTATGTACAATAAATTAATATTTACTTAATATAATTATGATTTATAATAAATAAATATTTTTAAATATATAAATTATATTTTAGATATCACTTTAACATGTGTTGATCATATGGGGTGCAATTATGTTAAATATTGAGAAAAAAAAAATTTGGGTGAGTTGCAAAGTAGTGTGTAATTTACATATCCACAGGAGAAGAGAGGGAATATTTATAAATTATAATGTCTAATCGAGAAAGTGAGTCTCCAAATTGATATTCGTTTACAACGTAAGAATTCATAATAAGTATTTATTATGTTAAATTGTAATAACTTAATGAAATAAGACTCTTATAATTGAGGGAAAATTATGAAAATAAATTATTTGGATCATGATACTTCGTCTCAAAATTCAAAATTTAAAAATTAAGAGTGAAATTATAATAATCGTAAAACTTGGTTTGTCTTAAAAGAAAGATATCTTCAATTTAGTTTGTAAACATTTTAAATTCAAATCAAATTAAATTTGGAATTAGATTTAAGTAATAGTATTTGAAAGGAATATAAAAAATTATAAATAAAAAATTAGATTAAATTACTCCAGCCAGGCAAAGTCACATTGCTTATACGAGGAGGAAAATAACTCACAAAAATAAGGAGTTACACTTATAATACAAAGGTAGATCACTTGTATTCTCATCATTATCGCAGTTGTTGTAAATAGTAATCATATCATCTCTGATTTTTCAGCTACTTGGTTTTTGTTTTTTTTGTTTTTTTTTTGTATATAAATGAACTTATAAATGCATGACCTCCTAACTATCTGAGATGCTTCCCTATTAATATCATCTTGTTCTCTAGGGAACTTAACAAATCTTTGGAGAATACACATATCTTGTGTTTTAGTTTGTCTGACTTTTGAAATCTCTACAACATTCTTTTTTGAATTGCCAAACATTGTATATGCTAAAGCAGCACAGGACTGTACATCACTGAAACGAATGAGTAAATCAGTTACTTCTTTGAAGAAAGAAAGAAAGGCTATGGTAGTCATATATTCTCTCTATTCCAAACCTTTAGTTGTTTAAGGTTAATGCACATGAACTAAGAAATATTTAATAGATGTAAATTTGGATTAAGAAACTCTTATTTAATGTCTTATTATCTCAGGGAATGATTGATAGAGAAAATACCTATTAAATAGTAGTATAATTGAGAAAAATGCTGATGTTGGTTGTATTTTCTGTCTGTATTGAACTGGATTCACTTGTTATCATCTTCTTCATGATTTAGAAATTTTAGAATAAAAGGATATTTGGATTCTTATTGTTTTACAAGTGGTTTTATTGAAATTTAGGAGTACTACTATTGTTCTCAGCTTGTACTGGATGTGAGTAGCACTTGAACTATAATATTATATTAGTTTGAATAAGAGTATCAGGCTATTGTTTTATGTCCTATTTCTCATATATCATCACTGCCATAATACTATTCAGAGTCCAATTATTTATTTTTATTTCTATTTTTAATTTCTTCCGAGTAGTACCTTCCACCTTTACCTGTGTCCATACTTTTTTGTGCCAAGTTTCCAAATTTTGGAACTTCCTTTTGTTTGGAGTCCTTCTCCCCATAGTGCATGGTTGTCTCCATATTTTGGCGACATATTCTGGCCTAAGCATTTTAATGTCCTTGATTGATTAGGTGTCTTTTTCTTGGGTTATGTTGTCTACATGGTCTTGCATGGATTTTGATATAACTCAGTTTCAACTAAAATAGAATGAATCCTTATTGAAAGAATGAAAAAATCTCGCTTACAAGCATAGAACCAGCAAGGTAAGTACACTCTTACACGCTACAGGCAGTTTGAGGGGCCTGAATTCTCTCCCTCACTACTCTCCAATTACCATCCTCCCTCTCACTTCTGTTTCCCATTTGCTATTAATTTCTCTAACATAGCCTAACTACAGATAAGAAGACAGTTACCACTGCAGTTAGTTCAGTTACAGTTAGTTGTTGGTTGTGATCCCCTAATGTACAGTTACCCATTTAATAGGGGTGTGCTATCAGCACCTCGAGGTCACCCTGCACATTACTCCTCTGATGTTACACCTGAGCTGGGACAGTCTCCAATTCCAGTTTAGGTGGCAACATTGGAGGTAAAGGTTGTACTAGAGCACCTGTTTGAGACAATACATGAATCATTCGGTGGATACCACTCTCCTTTTACAAGTCTAATTTATAAGCAACTGAACCAATACACTGCACATGAATTTCTGTCATCTGTCCATCTATCTACATCAGCAAAAGTGATAGTAGACAAAGCAGCAAAGATCTTCAAGCAGGAAAGTGCATCATCAACCACAATTTTTAGACTCCTGATTGGTATTAAATTTCAAAATTGTTCCTCATAAAGTTTGATACCCAATTTGCCTGATCCTCCTCTAGAAATCACTGTTCATTGATAAACTTAAGGCTCCTTTGATCAGTTTTGATAATGAAATGCCTTCCTAGCAAGTAGTGCCTCCATTTCTACACTGCTAAGCACTGACATAACTACCATCAATTCTCTCATACATATTTAGCTTGGCCCCTTGTTGAAAACACCTGAATTTTACATGCAATTGGTCTCCTTTCCCAAATCAAAAACACCCCTAAATTGATGGTTAAACCTAGTTTGTTAGTTAATGAGTCACTTAGTGTGTCAAGTGGGTTTATGTTAAACCCTAAACCCTAAACTGATTGTTAACCCTGGTTAGTTAGTTAATGAGTCAGTAAGTCAAGTGGATTTATGTTAGAAAGAAGGGGGATAGGCCTACAATTAGTTGGCCCCATTTATGATAGTTTCATCTGTTATAATCTGTAAATCAGTTACTTCGTATAAAAGGGGGATATCCGTATGATGTCTACACTCTACAAACTTTTGGAGAGTTAGAAAGTTTAGAGGAGTGGATCCAGGCCTCCTGAAACCTGTGCAGCAATGTGTCTTTTTCATAGGGAAATCTTGCCCTATTATCAATAAAACTATTATTTTTCACTCTTCTGTATCAATTCTTATCAACTGATATTAGAGCCTTCAGTCATGTCTCCCAACTGCAAATGAGTGATGTGGGTGGTGATGCCAGCATGGCATTGTTTGCCCAGGACTAGTGCACAGCCAACTCGTATAGGCGCCGGGATTGCAAAGCATGGTGGGATGTTAGGATTCAATTGCAAGGTATGGGTCTTGAGTACCAAATTGGAAGTATGAGATTCTAGAGTGGGATTTATAAGGCTTTGGATTCTCCAATTTCAACAACTAGCTTTTATGGTGTGGTTCTCCCAAGATTCTTATCATAAACCTTTGATGGAAGCATCATTTTCAAGGGTGAAAGTCTAGTTGAAGTCAGACGTGCACAATACTGGAAGAGCAACCATCTATTGGTTAATTGTCAAAAGCTTCATGCACTTCTGGATCCCAAATAAACCCAGTCTTCTTAAGCAACTCAGTTAGGGGCTTATTCCCTTGTAGGTTTAGGTTACTGTAATTTTTGTACCCTACTTGACTATCATTATCAAATTTTGGCTCTGGCTTGTATTACGTTATTATTCCTGAGTGTGGTTCTTACAATATATATTGTTTGGCTTTTATATCTGTTCCAATTGGCTTGCTATATTCTTTTCCAACCACAAGCTGTTGACCAAGCTTCTGTTTTCCTCAATCCAGACTCGTCTTTTTAAGGTTTTTGAATAAAAAATTCAACCCCGTGATTGTTCTTGCTGCTTGAAGCTTCCAAATGCTTTCCACCTATGTCTTTTCTAGTTGTCTCCTTCTTTGCTTTTCTTTTTGTTGACCTTTTTTTCATTTGCCAATGCAGGTATATGATGTGACACAATATTTGGATGATCATCCTGGTGGAGATGATGTAATCCTTGCCACAACCGGTACCTTCCTATATTTATTTTATTTCACTATGAACTGGATGCAAAACTAAACATGGACAAATTCATACAATATCAGAATTCAAAACCTGAATGAACCTTTGTATCTTCTTTGAAGGGAAAGATGCAACAGAAGAATTTGAAGATGTTGGCCACAGCAAAAGTGCAAGAGAACTCATGGAGCAGTATTGTATTGGTGAGCTTGACACATCACCTCCAATTTCCACCAAGCAAAGTTATTCTGAAAAGTTGATGCAGCTGACAAAGCAATACTGGGTTGTTCCGGTAACCGTTGTTGGTATCTCAGTGGTAGTTGGTTTCCTATACTTACGTAAGAAGTAGCATTACACAAGTCTGCAGTTCAATTTTTGTCATTGTTGCAACCGGAATGCATCATTGCAACAAATTTTGAATCAATTTGAAGGATAGATGTTATAAGAAAACTAGATTATTTTAAAATAGTAATTGATGATATGCATAATATTACATTGAAAGATTGATCAAAGAATAGATGATGAAACATGTTTCTTTCAGTTTTATTGATTAATTTGGAGGTTTATTTTCTTACAAAATTAAGTGGTTCCTTTCCTTATTTATTTTTGTCTGTCTTTTGTTCTTATCATTAGCTATTTTACTTTCATGCATGCATGATTCTGGAACCTGAAACTGTTGTTTGATCAGTTTCATTTTTTGGATTTTGATTGTTTATTAATGATCTGGTATGCTCAATATATCTCTTTTGCATGGTTCCATGTGACAAAAATAAAATTAAATTCTGCATAATGAACTAATGTCGAACTATGTTTCACCTTTTGATGTCAGTAAGACTTTAATTCTCTATAAGACTATAATGGACCGTTACATTACTAAATCTTTTGTGTGACTAACAATCTATTGCTTCATACAAAGAACCGATGGAATCAAGGTGGGAGATGATTGGGGATTTCTCCATGCTTGATTCCTAGCTTCTTCCTTGTATCCAAAAGTCAAAAGAAATGCACAAAAATGGAGAGGATAAGGAGGATGAGGTGCACCACTCTCAAGGAGTGATACACAAGAAAGGAAGTTATTGTCACCAGGAGGATTTCTTTGATGAAAGAACTTAAGGAGTGAAATTCTTCATAGAGAAACAAGAGACTTTGAGAGAGAGAATTCAGAAAATATTCTCTAATAATGATTCAAAAACAGTATAAGGCTTTAAATAGAATTATGTAATTTATGGAGCAAGCTAGACTAATCATGATTTAAAAATGAATCAGGGTTGCTTAATCATGACTAATTGGAAGTCCAATATTTGAATTCAAATTTTTGGCTCCAACTCCCCCATGTGCTCTAGCTCTAGTTTAGCTTATAAGAAGATGCCATGTGGCAAGTAAGGAATGTGTCGCTAATTTTTCACCCATGTGACTTAAATTTTGAATTCAACTTCTCTAATCATGTGTGCCACTCCACTTGGCCGGTCATATGCTTAGCTTAGATAATTCAAATGTTAACACATGGTCCAAATACTAGTTGCACCTCCTGCCCATTATTTACAAATTAAGAGATACATGAAAATAATTTCTAGACTATTAGGCTAAAAAATATATGGCCTAAAATTAAGAACATATACACAAGTACACAAGAGATATTGAGTTTATATATTTAGTAGCCTGTAGCTGAAGATGAGCTTAGGTCCATTAATCTTATTATGGGTCTAATTTTCTTGGGTCCTCCTAGCCACGATCCTAGTAGTAGATCCCTTAACCAAGACTCTTCCATCAAGAACGATCGTGAAGTAACATCTATCCATTTATCAAAAATCTTCCTAACTCATAAGATGTAACATGATATCAAAGTTTTTGTTGACAACAAAGGCACCCCACCAGGCAATGAGATATGTGGCGGATTATACAACGGTTCTTGTCATGCAAGATTGTTGGAATGTACGTACGTAACTTGTAATGCTTTTTTATGTTTTAATAATTGTAAATGCTTATTGGTTACCGCATTGGATACTGTTATACATGTAAAATTTGTGGTTTAGATCAATTTGAATATATATTTCAATCTCATTCAACAAATGTAGTTTATTTTATTTTATTTTATCTCAACCTCTGGTTCTCGTTCTTTTTAAGTGGTTTCTAATATTTGTTGATTAAAGTTAAAAGGAATGGTTTAGCTATATATATATATGTGGGAAGTTTAAAATTACACCGGTGTAACTTTTATAATTATTACTCAGTTCAATAACTTTCAATTAAATAATGTTTTTCTCAAAATCTATTGTTAGATTGAAATTTCATTTCACTTAGATCATATATAAGAAAATTTATATTAATAAAAAATTAATAGATACTTCATTCATATAGATCAAAGTTGACATAATATGTTTTTAAAAATATATTAAAATATGAATAATTTAATTACATTCTTTTTGTTGTTCAATTTTAACAAAATTTAACATGTGTTTAAGGTAATAGATTAGAGAGTTTTAATCTAATGATATATTTTGAGAAAACATTATTCATTGTAGTTGTTGCTACTTCAGTTGGAATTTTGTTAATTGTGGTGGTAGTAATAGTGACAATAATGGCAATGACAATAGTAATAGGGTTCTTATAGTAGTAGTGACAGGACAATGATGGTAACAATATGATGATGGTGTTAAGTGGTAAATCTTTTAATATAAACCATTAAATTTAATTCAATGACTAAAATTAACCCCCTCACTCACATAAGAAACTCCCTCTCACTATATTTATATATATATATATATAGAGAGAGAGAAATAGATATATAGATATATAATTATGCTTAGAATATGATTCTATAATTATGCAAATTATTGTTAAGAATATTTGAGACTATTTTCACAGAGCACAAATAAAAATATCAAATAAACTCTAAAAATTAGTGAAACATTATTATAATTAATAGAATTAACTATGCATGTTATTTTGTATAATATAGAACTTTTGAATTATTATTGAAATTTCTAATGGTACAAACTATAATAGTAATAATAGTTGATAATAAAAAAGAAACTAAGCTATATTATAAACTAAATTTTACAACTGTTAATTTAGTTATAGATAAAAATAAAAGTGGATAATTATTATTTTTATGGCTAAAAGAAAGAAAAATAGAGTAATTATCTCTTTAAAAAGAGAATAGGAAACAAAGCAAACAATCATTCTTAAAAAATATAAAAAATTAAAATTAAAAAAATAAAACCTTGTTTCTCAAATCAGTTTTCATCTTATATCAACAAAGTGTTGAAGCAACTCATCTTAGAAGTCTCCACAGAGGATTCTCTTGAAGATTCATGAAAGGAAACTCTTAATCCATTCCTTCTCTAGTCTCTCACATTCTACACAAGTAAAGGGGGTGGGGGGGGGAGTTTTTGATTCTTAATGAGAAGTTTGAGCTAACAGTGGGTTAAGGGATGAGAGAAATTCCTTTATCTCTCTTTAATATTGCTGTACAAGTTTTGTGGGTTTGGGTTTCTATATTGAAAATTTGAAATTTTAGGGTTTTTAACTTAACCTCTTTGTTGATTAAAGTTATCAGTGTTTAATGTTATTTTTTTATTTTTGATGCATTGATGGTATACTGCTCACACATAGCATAGGTATGACCTGATTTTGTTATTGTTTAATTGTTCTCTCATATTCATAGCAAGAAAATAAGTTGTTAAGATAACCTGTAATTAGTTAAGTGATTTTTAAGAAATGATTGGTTTTTTTTTTATGTGAATTTTGTTATTTTTAAGCTCTATTATTTTTTAATGAGATATTAATCTATCACTATAGCTTAAATCATTTTTAAATATTATGATTGTCCCTGTTGTACTGTATATGCTTTTGTTTTGTCTTATCTCATCACTGCCACTTATATAAATAAAAGAAATTTTAACTTATATTGTTTTGTTTTAAATTTTAGTTACATGTATTCTATTTTATCCCATCGCTTTCACTGTTATGAATTGATTAGAACAAAAAAGATCCTGTCTTGTTTTTGGTGATATTAAAACTATAACAATTATTTTAGAAAATTAGATTTTTTTTTATAAACTTTCTTATTGACCTATAAATGATTATAGAACATTGAAAATTAGATTTTCTTCTAAATATATTTTGTAACCTTAAGTTTCAATATGTAATTCAAACAATCTACACCATCCCAACTAAACTCAATGTAAATCATAAAAAATATTACAATTTCAATAGTTAATACTTATTTATAGTCTCAATAACAATGTTTGATAAATAAAAAAAGAAAGTCATTGTCTGATAAACAAATTCAATGTTCAAAAGTCATTTATAGGTTCTGTGACACCCTTACTATCCCAACACATATATTGTAACAATGTAAATAAGCTAAAGAATAAATCTTTCAACGTTGGTAAAAGGGTTCACATAAAAACCTTCACAAATGTTCTTCAATATCTAAAATGATTGAAAATAAATAAATTAGAAAATGAAACATAAGAGTTTACAAATTATTTTTTTTAAATAATAAATACAGCTTCAAATCCATATAAAAATTTCATGTCCTAGAAATCCTCTGCCCCGATATCACAATATCAGAGCATGCCCACAATTCAACCGTTGGCATTCTAGATCCCACTCATAGTTGGATCTTCCTCACTTAAAACATCCACAAGTTGTACGGTGAGAAAAGAAAACATCTATATGAAAAGCACACAAGGAAAAACACAACATAATCTCATCATAACTCCTTAATGAAATATTCACAAGCATTTATATATATCATAATTTATCAATCATTCATCATCTGCACATTTCAATTACATCAATCCATCACAATCCACACAAATCTTACAATTAACATTATGCCAAGGCCACGCCACATTTGACACAAGTGATACAGGTTAATTGCCTCACTCATCCCACACCATGCTAGGGGCACGCTCGTCCTTGTAGCATCACTTACTCAAGGTTTGTCTCATCCCTGGTCATTAGTGTGAGGAACCACAATCACATTACAATCCACACAATTTCTTACAATTAACCCTATGCCAAGGCTTCCACATCTGACATAAGTGATGCGTGTTAATTGTCTCACTCATCCCACACTATGCCAGGGGCACGCCATCCCTGAAGCATCACCAACCCAGGGTTGTCTCATCCCTGGTCATATGTGTGAGGAACCACAATCACAATCATAATCATATCCATACAACATCTCATCTCATAGCTCAATTCCATATCATATACACAATTCCATATCTCATACACAACAGATAAGTCCAACAAAATAAGGGTTTACACACCCCTCAAGCAATTCACATCTAGATCATCAATTCTTTATCAAGTAATATAACAATAACATTCATAAATTGATATAATAATCAATGGAGTTACCAATTTAATATAATCCTAACATAACGGTAAAACCCCCAATTATTCCAAAACCTAACTCAGATGCACTTTTCTACAATTTCGTTATCTCTCCCAGATCATTATTCTTACGAATTAAATATATGTTTCTAATCTTCAACACATACAGAATTTAATGGGACCATCAATTTCTCAAACATAAATAATTATAAAATTACTCATAATCT